ATTTTTTGAATACTGCCGACTGCCGTTCGGTGTTGGTTGGCTGGATGAACGTGCGGCCAATGTAAGGATTTCTCAGGAACACCTCACTGTACTCGATTCCACTCTGTGTGTTAAAAATATGTTACGACAACGCCTCATTGGCTCAGCAAAAAAGGTGTGGGTTACGTACCTCTTTTGAAAATCCAAGTGCAGCGGGTCGTGAAGAATCCGGTACATTACTGACAATGTCAGCATCCACATGGGATTCTTTGGCCAAGCGTCGACCACATCGTTCACGCACGCCGTAAACTTGTTGTCCTATTGACATTTGAGACAATGAGACTAACAAAGCGCAAATTTAACTTCAAGGGTACATTTGTTCCACTATTTACGATAAATAAACAGCTGGTTCAGCTTACACCATATTTGTAGACTAAACATACAGTCACTGCAGTATTACAGTAGGTATACAAGTATACTATCATTATAATTTTTTTCTATTCTAATTACGAGTATTTTCATTCATTCACCGATTTGCATTCATTCACCGACCACACGAAATGTAGAAAGGCAATACTGAAGATCGTAGTTAATATTTCAATAACATAACTCTTATCAGCCTATCAGTACTGCGCGTAAGCCACAATAATTATCCTATTAACACAAATTAGCTAATTTTTTAGGTTGATTACTGATTCTGCAAATAGTAGTATTTTCCGATAAAAAACACTTTACGCGGGGTACAGGCAATGACCGACTTTTAAGCTGGATAATAGGTGTAATGGCTAGCAATTTGCCTGCTGCCTCATTAGCGTTATTAACCACAGCCAGAAAAACGACAACAACTCCAGTGAAATTATTAGCTGCCGAGGATGGCTGTGTTTTTCTGGGGGGCGGCTGCTCTAGATAACAACCGCAGACTAAAAATACCCATTATCGAAATTAACGTCATGCGCGTTAACCTTCCATCCGGGATTATTGCTTCAGAATTAGCCTGGATGAAGATATCCAGTTATCCACTTCCCGACCTAATACTGAGTACACAATCATTCCTTCTTCCCTAACTGGCCTAGAAAAATCCATTCTGCCACGAAATACAATTACCACAGTGAGCTTATTGTTGGGATTAACGTCGATTATAGCATACGCTGAATCGCAATTAAAGCTTCCCCATCTGAAAATGAAACAGTTATATTGAGAAAGTTGTAAAGTAGCCTGACCTCCGCTTACCCTGGCCTGGATATGTCTAACGTACGAAATGTGGTTGAACTGCGCCTATGTTATCGAGAGCGTGCAAGTAAGCAGGAACGAATGCAGATACGTAAATAAAATTTCTGAGCGGGTCGGGATGAAAGCCTTTATTACACACGTAACTACAAACCGTAGTAAAACGTACTAATGCCGTACTTAGAACCTGATTGTTTTAACCTAGAAATATGGAGTTCAGCTTCTTGAAGGCTTTAAATAAGTACCGTACAAAGTTCATTTGAAATTTGGTGAAGATGCATTTCGCTAAACCTTACTTCTCTCTACTCGTACTAAAACTGGTGAACTTCTACTTTATTAGCCGTTATGTTAAGAATTCGTTTTTCACCAAATATGGTTGCTTTACTCAGTAACTTTATAATCGGCATGTCAATTTTATTATTTATTCCAATGCCTTTCCAACATACCTTCAAAATACGAATCCCCGCGGGCAAAGTAAACATATTCAAAAAGGCAGAACGCTGTGGCCTTTGGTTTATTTGGGACCACGGGTTCTGGCAGTTCCACCCCGTTTTTTAAGGGAGTGGGTTCCGGAGGTTCAACACGTGCCACCGTACTAAAGCCGTCTTTGGTGATCTTGACCACTTCTCCCGGGTAGACTTCCCGAACAAGTTTGCAATGTGGCACATTTTTAAAACAGCAGGACTCCGATGCCACAATCCATGCATCAGCTTGATATGGTCCTGCAGTTAGAATCATTAATTAAAGCGCGCGTTATTGCCTTGCCTCGTATAACAACTAGGAAAAAATTTGTAGTTCCATAGCTAAATTCGTAGTTCCATAACTACTCGTACTTACCACTGCTTGGGTTATTTTCGGAAGATATTTTTCCCAGAACTAGTGGACGATTTCCGAAGCAGTCTCGTACCGCATATATAGCGTCCCCGTTGAGAAACAGGAAGGAGTACGCCAACGGAAACATGCGCATCAATTCGGCCAAACGTCGCGGCCAGTCTGGTGGTGACATTTTCTCCGAAGGTGACTACAAAGTACGGACACTGGTCAAACTTCACAACCAGTCCCAACGCGTGATTAAGCAAGATGTTGCCACCGGCTAGAGCAGTATGTCCCGCTTAAAATTGGTAAATTTGAGATTAATTTGATTACTCAAGACATGTTTTTACAAAGTACAGTACGTAGTAGCATATAACGTTCAAAAGCCAAAGGTTAATAACTACTCCAAGAAAAAGCGAGATCATTGGTAGAAGTAGTCAATACCATCATTGCTCGGCCAGAATCAGACGGACTGTCGTCCGAATTGTTTGATCCGCGCCGGGAATTGCGCGAACCAAACAAAGAATCCTTGTGCAGCAGCAGTAGAGCTCGCAGCAAAAGTTCGGTATCGGACTCGCTGGAGAATGCCGTGCCATGGAGAAACAGCTGCAGAACACACAAACCGTTACATATCCCAATACATCAAGTACTCACAGTCCACTTCGGAAAAAACAAGTTGCACAAACTTCATGACGCAGCGCTTCGGCATTAACAATCTCGCCGTTATGGGCAATGGCCATGTGTCCGTGGGAGCCTTCCAGGGTCAGCGGCTGACAGTTGACCAGATGGGACCGACCGGCGGTGGAGTAGCGGTTGTGGCCGATGCCCAGATTGCCTTCCAGATGGCGTACATCCTCGTCGCGGTACACCGCGCTCACCAAGCCCATACCGCGATGGCATTTCAGCGGATCGGTGCCGGAGCCAGTGGCCACCACGACGCCCGAGCTTTCCTGTCCGCTAAAGGAAAACAATATTTCAAAAACATAAAAAGATGAAAAAAATAAAACTTTAATACATTCAACGTTAATACATTATGTATCCTATTATACTAATAAACATTAATTTGTTAAAACTTTGGACTAACTAACATCCTGCCAATTTTTAATTTATTTGATAGAAAATTGTTAAGTGCAGCCCACTTCCAGATAGTAGAAACTCATGCAAAGTACTGCCGCAGGAGTGTTGCACTGTACGGTATATACGTAGATATGCGTTAAAAAATTTCCCTGATTATCGCCTTAAAAATACAAAATCACGATTTTAGAAGCCTAGATTTATCATCATATATAAAGGGTGTTCAAGTTATTATTAAGTTTTCTTACTATCATTATTTCTTAGTTGCTAACAGAATACTGCGAATATCCATAATGATGAAATTATCATGAGCATTTGTGCTGAAAACCCTAGTGTCAAGTATTAAACCTTGTGCTGGACAACATAAGAAATAAGAAAATCGGTTGCTAAATGAACTGAATTTTTAATTTACGGACTTACTGCTAACAAATGTAAGTTTCTTACCGATGCTGCAGCCCCACTAGACCATTGATGATTGTTTCAGCTACATGGACCTTCAATTTGACACACTCTCCTGTGGCAGGCCACGGTCCTGCTGCAACGCACCCAAACACAGCGCATTCTTCGCGCAGTCCAGATTCGTAGTCAGGATCACGGACACTCATTTTCCAGTTAGATTGCTCCTACTGAAGGGGGAGCTTAATAAACGCTTACTGCAGATCTTGTTGTAGTGGAAAAAACTGCGAGAATAAATATCAAGTAGCGCGAAAAAAGCATTATTATCATACTGATATTCGGAGATACCTTTGCAGATAACATAAGTAAGCCATCTCAGTTCGAGTGAAGTTCAGTCGTGCCACTTTAGGTGAAGAGTGAAAAGTGATGCTGTGCATGCTGCTACGGCTTGAAAGGACGACCAGACCGACCTTTGGTCAGTCAGAGTGCACCGCTTTCGTTCGCTATAACAAGTAAGTGCAGTACTGTACGTTGTATACTCTGTAGATCGGTTATAAGGGAAATACAAATTAATCGAAACGATTTTCTTTGCTTTTTGCGCCAACAAGTACTTCACAACCCCAAAAGCGTTTACTTAAAGCTTGCGGCTACATAAAGAAGTCGCCAGTAATAATTATTATCGAAGGGTCAGTTAAGATGCGTACGTTTCCACTACCCTCCACAGCAATATCTACTTCTACGAATAATGATTCATGTTCTACCAGCTGGCCGGTGATACATGTAACTACGCACATGTTCTGGTCAGTAATAATACACAACCGGCCACTGAACGCTGCATATACAGTAAACTTACTCAAATCACTCAATGCAGGGAAAACAGAATTAAGCCTGGAAAACAACCACCGGATTCAGAAACTATACAAAATACTGTATGACAGGTCAGTTCCATATTTAAAGGGATGTACCGGTACTTACAGTAAGTCAAGACATGCGTTTTCCAGTTTTGGAACAAGTTACTTAATGATGGAACTTGCTCCAAAATTGCGATACCTCGAAGAATTTTGTGCGTAGTTGTCCTTTATACACTGTGGCAGCTGATTCTGAATGTTATTTGCAGCCAAGTAAGTGCAGGTTTCATCTGGTCGTTACAGACGTTAAACTGACAGTGACTACACAACAAGAACAACAACGTGAGCTACTCTACATGTTAAAGCTTTAAAAACTCTCGTGCACAGTTGTCTCTTCTGGGAGACACTGAGTACGAAGATGTTGGTAAAGCGCAAAAATAAAGAAAATTACGTACGTAAGTAGCAGTTTCTACGCACGTAAATTGACTTAAATTTCTTCTCAGATCATTAGTTTTTTTAATGTTGCTTCGTTATTACCTACTCTGTAATATTTTCAAATAAGATGCATCATAAACAATAAGGTTTTCAAAAAATGCAGCCACAAACGAAAGATCAGCGATAGGCTGCCAAACAGTCAACTTGTTTATGAATGCGATCTTACTATTGCAGAAATGCAGAAAGAGGGAAAAGTATGTACATTTTATGTAAATCACAATTGCACAACAAAGAAAATCCTCAATTAACAGAAGATCATAACTTAACAAGGAAGATCGCCAAGTAAAAAATACATCATCAGGCAAAAAACCAAACAAGGAGAATACCGATACCGCTACAAAATACAACAGAACAACCCGAAGTGCAAGCTCGAGCACAACTCGAATCTGCGCCGTTATCAAACAAATGCAAACTACAAAAGTTACCCACACCACCATTGGGCCTCACAAATAAAAAACACCTCACTAACCCCCCACAATCGCATCACGCATTCGCGTCCGACGAGGTCACCGGCATTTCACGGGATGCGTATGCCTTAGAGTAGTAATCAATCAGCATCTGCTGGTAAACAACATTGTCTTTCAGTTTTGATCGGGATACAACTGCAGTATCTCCATTGGTGCTAAAGAAACAAAAAAGCGCTCATACACACGCATGATTTACATTTCACTAGATGGGTCGTGCAAATCTATATGCAGAGCGAGCTTAGAAAACGTCCATCTTACGAGAACGCTTACAGTTTGACACGCAAGGAATCCGTACTCCGATTAAACTGCAAGATTCCCTCGATAGGTGCACAGAGATCCGGTTCCAGGCAATATGGTCGCTTCGGTGAGCAGACGGTCTGTGCGCCGGCATCGACTTCCAAGATACCACTGCCTTCTGGAGTAACAGGCCGCTCGGGAACATCGGGATTGTTCCGCTCCTCGGGAGATAAATCTGTCGAAGGAAGGCTACTGCTTGAAGCAGCGTGTGCAGCATTATCTGGTATAATCTCATTACTGCCGGTCCCACTGGGAACAGGAGTGGAATGGGCCAAAGGACTGCTGATTTGGCTGAGCTGTAAATGTGCAAATGTTACCTTCAAAAAACCACTTCAGTCTCAACATTTCACGAAACGGCAAAGACTCACAGAAGGTAGACTGGACAAAAACTCGAACTGCTGCGTAACAATTGAAGATGATTCGTTCTGTGAATCCGGCGTTGAAGTGACAGCTTGGCTGGAAGTCGTCACGGAATTCTCCAAAACAATGCCGGGAGAAAGCTACAAGTATCAAAATAAATCACAAAACATATTCTGTCAAGTATGGAGCTTGTCAAATTACAAACGAAAAGGAATTTATCCCATCCAAAAGATTCAACCACAAAAGCAAGTCTGTACGGAATGTTTTAAAATCCACAAACGATAAAATTTAATCAACGCCAAACAATCGATAAAATTTAACTCAGCAAACAACCACAAGTAATAAATCGGTTTACCAATATTTCTGGGTTGACGTCCGCGGTAACGGGGGTTGTTCCGGAAGTACCCGCTGTATCTCCCGTCGAGATCCTGCTGCGTGGACTTCGCCTTGGGGAAATACGGGAAGGTGTTAGACACGAAGACTTTAATCCTCTGTCAGCACAAGGATCCGCTTCCTTTCTCTGAGTTTTTGTGGTTTCAGGTACCGGATGTTCGTTTTCGAAAACATCCATCGCGGAATGCCAGGAATCACCAGAAAAGTCACTGGTCACCGGTGACAGAAAACGATCAGCAGTGGGGGACGCAACCTCCTCCAGGGCACTACCGGTACTTGTTTGGCGTGATAAATCCGGTGGAGATCCCACGTCTGCTAAAACTTCGACAGTAGGCTGCACTTGAACATCCGCATCGCCGACTGCAAGCTGCAAATGGTATACGCTGTCACTTATACAGAATTATAAAGCTAGTAATAAAATCGACATTTTTACCGGCAATACTGGCAGTTCGACAATTTCATCTATAGTATCCAGTATAGCATGGTCTTTTGGACGGTAGGAAATCCGAGCAGGCGATACGATCGTACCGTCCAGCGATGTCTCGTCCCAACAGAACCACTCCACTTCCTCATCAACACCGCTGTTCTTCCGTTTGGATCTCTTGTAAGCAGACACTGACTGCGTATCCACCATAAAAATAGCATGGACACTGTCTAAACGGGAACCACTGCTTTTCGAAGACAGTTTGCTACGAGATCGTGCATCCCGCAGTTGCTAAAAAATTAAAAGTTCCCGAAATATTTATCACGTATAAAATAGGAAAAAGTCGAAATCTGTACTTTGTTGGTACCCAAGTACGAAAATCACGGACAAAATAAATAATTCGTACGGTCATAATTTTGCAGACTGCCTATTATACGGAACGCAGCCGAATAAATAAGTGTACTTCACTAACACTATGGAACAAAACATTGCAAAGGCAATAAAAAAATTTTTCGTACCTGGGATGGCAGAATAAAACTCTGACTCAGAGAAATATCCAGTTCACTAGATTTTCGACGATTTATCGTCTCCACTGGAGTTCCTTCCCCTGGATGTGCAGGCAACACACTGTTTCCCGATTTCTTCGATCGGCGTCTTGGAGTTGTGATTCGAAACTGCTTGGGAATTGTTTGGGTGTTCATGTTCATTGCATCCATTTCCACAGAAGAATGCGTAATTTCTGCCTCCACTGCTGTACTCGGTGGAATAACATCGCTTTTGAGCCCGTCCTGACTACTCCCAGCTGGCTGTATTAGAACTGCCTGTGGATTTCTGGCACGAGTCGAAGCAGATTGCCTTTTCCTTTTCGTTGCAATATAATGAGAAATCGAATTCGAGGCACTTCCACCGACAAGTAATCTACTCGGACGAGAACTTCGTTGATATTTGCGTCGATTTGGCGGCCCTTCCGCCGCCGTTGCAACAGCTGGAGGTTTATCAGTTTCTGCTGATATCTGAATATGGCTATCCATTGTTTCCGGTGAAAGAGTCGGCAGATCGACATTCCCAACCTCGATACTAACAGCCGAAACTGCTTTTGCCTTCGCGATTGATGTTTTCTTTGCCGCACTTCCTTTGATTCGTTTGGGTTTTATCGTTTTCTTCGCACGAACTGACAGGATACCGTCCGTAAGCGGAATATTCGATTGCGCAGCATCTTCCACTGCTACAGTTGCATGCACACCATTCACCGTGAATTCAGTCATATTTTGAGTTTCGCTCGAATTCGGCAGATCGCTATCATAGGCTTCCAATGCAGTATGGGATACAGCAGGGAGGCTGTGTTCCCTATCAGATGCGGCATTCCGCTTTCGCTTTCTTTTGGAACCCACTACTGACGCTGAGGAATTATGCTGGATCACACTGGGTTTGTGTTTTTTCAGCAAACACGAAGGAACACTTGGTACCGAAGCCGTCCAACTATGAAGCTGTATGGACGGCGCAATCACAGCTACAACTGTTGAGGACGAAGGCATCGAATCAGAAGCACGTTGCTGACCCCGTTTAGAGCGCGGAGGAAGGCTTGCGAATCCTTCCAAGGCTTTCAGCGTAGGCTGGGCAGTTCGGGTACTTCGTCGAACTGCCGTGGGAAATTTATTCCGAGTTTTTGTACCACGAGGTTCCTTATTCTCTGTCTTATCCGGAGCCAATTCCACGAAAGTGCTTGACACTGCTGCTAAAAAAAACAAAACTGGATAAGGAGGTACGATTACAAAAAGCTAACCGCCTGAGAACGAATATTAAAAAAGACAACAAAAACTGATTTTCAATAAAAGAAGGTATGTAGCTGATGAAGGGTGCGGATAATTGAGAGAAATAATTAAGGCCTATTTAAAATCTTTAAATGTTTTAATCTTTTTAAAGAAAAATCAAGTAAACGAAAAATCCAGAAAAAATAAATCTTTTTAAATTTTAAAACGAAGATTTTCCCGCTCTTTTCAAATGCTTACCTTTCTTCCGTGATGCCTGTTTCCTTTCGCAGTTTTCCAACTGCTTTATCTCGCTGGTTTTTTCAGCATTATTCGGAGAGCGGTAGCGTCTTTTTCTCGATGAACGAGCGCTACTGGCGCTTTCCTCTTCGACGCCATTGCCAGTAAGATTGTCGTTGGGACTGCGATGGACAGCGAACTTTCTGCGCTTAGGAACGGCGACGGCCAGAGGAAGAATGGAGCCTCTTTCCAAGGCTAGAACCCTCTGCGAGCGCCTGGGAGAATTCATTTCCCATAGACCTACGACAGTAAACATTCAGATTAACAAAATTCCGAAGAATTACTGAGAGACTAAACGCGCACTGCGTCTGCTTGGGTCTCTGCCTGAGTTCACACTAACAACAATATCATGGCATGCGAAGAGATAATGATTATTCAAAAAAACATTTCATTAACAGGCATACTCTCTTCTTCATGCACCACTATGAAGGAATTTAAACCATAACTGATAACTTTTTTAAAAACTGTTAGAGTAGAACCACGGGTCTCTAACAGTGCCTGGATATCTGTACTTAATATCAATTCTTCGCAAGTACACAACCAAAGAGTATTCCACATGTGGGCAAACTGGTACACTTATCCTCATCATTATTACTTACTTTACCTGAAAATTCTCGTAACAATGGACGACAGTTAAGTTCCACGACGCGCCGTTGTAATCGTACTCCTGGCAAACCGACATGAAATCATTCCTGCACGCATCACACTCAGCCTAAGTCGAATCGAAGGCTGGCTTACTGATTGCTGGTCATCAGCAGTGGTGAGATTTGAGCACTCTCGGCACAAAGAATTGATGCATTTCAGTAAAACGTTGCAGTGGAAAAAATCAGTTCTGTGAATGGACAGGGGCGCAGGAAGAAACTTATAAAAAAACATAAATTTAAAGTGCTCGCAAGTTTTTTCCAAAACGTTTTCGTTTTTCAACTGACACGGTAACTCATGGAAAGAAGCGCGGACGAGAACGCGCAACACAACGAGGCACGTCTGCGGCAACCTACTAATAATACATATGCCCCTCCAGTGGGGCATTATAATAATCCTAAAAGAACTGTGCTTGCCCCCCCCCTGCACAGGCTCGCAACGATTTGTACTACGTCACCGACAACTAATACCGCCTTTTTTATCTTATGCTTACACATCAGAATTTGCAACAAAAGTGCTTATCTGGGCTTGCATATTTATATTTGAGTCCCATAAATATTGATATAATTAAAACGTAACTTCATTTTTCCCGGTTGCTTGCTACTTAAAGTATTGTAGCAAATATTAATATTTCAGAAGACTGATTTAAATTTCATGAGTTTTAATTCTAATCTAAACGAAAACTGCGCCGGCTGAAAAGCATACGATTTACCATTTTTACGCAACTATTTCTAAAAGAACATAGCAGAATTTCACCAAAAAAATAAATATTATCAGAAGACTGATTTAAATTTCATGAGTTTTAATTCCTGTTAATCTAAACGAAAAACTGCGCCACAAACGAAGCACCTCGAAAAGCATACGATTTACCATTTTTACGCAACTATTTCTAAAAGAACATAGCAGAATTTCACCAAAACCTAGTAGCGTCCACCAAAAGACAACAGAAAAAAGCAAAAGATCTTCGGTAATTCATTCATACTCAAAGCCGGGGAAATCTTTCATTTCTGGTCGCTGAAGATTTTTCTCCACCCAGGCGTCGACTTTCTTGTTCATTTCCGGTGTGAAACTTTTCTTCCACTGGCCAGTGCCACCTGCAACGATAATCAACTGTGCATCCCGTTCTTAACTACCCACACCAAAATGCAGCAAAATACCATCACGAATGAAAGGGAATTTGTTGAAATCCAAAAATCCCAACTCATGAGCTTTGTACTTGTTGAGCATTAGGTTAGCCTGAAATTTGGGGAAGTCGGTTTCCTCCTTGATAACCTGGATCTGTTCATGAGTAAGCGGCTTGCCGAGGTATTCCGCCAAGCGAGACACCACCGGTTCAAAGTTCTAAAACACAGAAAAAACATTGTTTCTTACCATTACAGATACAACATTGCTAATCACAAAATGTAGACACGGTAGAGTCGGGTAGACCACTATTCGCATTCTGCAACAATACAGCGTTCTGACCTTTTTCAGTTGCTCAAAAGAACAGAAGAAGATGTTCGGATCTTCGTGGCGACGGCTCCAGAAACTGGCAATGTGATCAAAGAACGGACCAAATTCGACATGATCGTTAATGAATGAATCAACAACTTCATTTAAATCCCCATGAAATCCGATACGGCGCTGAATTTGGAGAAAATGGTACAGGGCAACCATGGTGTCTTTCGGATTGCGCCAAATGTACACTTTCTGCAACACGATGAAAAGCAACTTGAAGCTACAAATTTTAAACGGGACTACGATAAAATTACATCTCATCCGGCGAATAAATCCTTAGGTTTTCGAATAAGACAAGACAGTTTGAAATGTACTAAATGGAAAATATATAGGGTATGTTCGATACGCTGAACGCAAAAATTACGGTTCCCAATAAAATATGAAAAAGACGTAACTTATGTCTTTTTCATACTGGTTCGATTAAAGCTTCTTCCTTATGACCCTATGACGATAGTGTCATAACGAATAAATTTCTAATCAAACCATTATAACATAAAAATAGTTCATGATGAATCACCTTGGCACCGGCTCGGATGATCGATTCAGGTAGCGCTTGGTAAGCCAAATGGGTGAAGAAAGTCCTGCCCGGAGGCTTTTTCTTCAGAATGTCGATTGCTCGAGTGCCTACCGGCTGCTCTGGTTCGCAGCGGCACAGAAATGGACTCTTCATTTCCAGTGGCGCGTCGTAAAAACAGTTGCGGTCACCTTTTGCATTGATGCCGACGATGATAGCGTTCATCCATGTGGTCCCTGTAATGTTTGAAACATCAACACCGATAAGGCAAAGCAAAAGTGACGGTCAGATGCTGATTCAGATCCAAATTTTTAGATCATCTGTACATATTTAACTAATTAGCGCAAAAAAAGAAAATTCAAAACTGCAGAGTCACGTAAGGAATCAAAGTTATAAATGGATCGTAGCAGGCTTTTAATTTTTTTATGGAACACCGCACCAGTCTTAGGAAATGAGCAAACTGGAGTGTCCAGCGGAGACGCTTCAAAGGTTTCCACATCGTCTAGGGTCAAATACTTTGGATATTCTACGAAGCATCCTTTGTAATTTTTCCTGCAAAGTAAGGCACTGGCGTTATTTTTCATAATTTTTATTACACGTAACTGCCAACTTACAGAAATTTTGGGTCGTGGTACGAGATATCGTACGGCTTCGGGAGTTTTTCCGGAATAGGATACCGGGGCGAACCGTTCAGTTCGTTGGCCATCGTAAAGAAGAGGTATTAGGGCGATAATCGAAACGATGCACGAAACTGACCCGTTCTTCACCAGAGCAGCGCAGCACTAAATTGGTGCAAAATTCTGCTCCGATTCGTAAAATCTACCAGGTGCTCAAGGCCATTTTTTATGTGTAAACCGGTAAAAACAGCGGAATGGCTCATTTCTGCCCTGCGGCGCGTGAACCGTGCACGACTGGATTGAGTCACATAGTGATTTCAAAAATCAAACCGAAGCAGCCTGCAACAGCAATGAAAATGTTCTGAAATTATTTATTCCATGTATCCAACAAGTCTTCGAGGCTTTGTGTAAAAAATGCGCTGCCAAAAATTACAGAGCGCACTTGCGATACCACAGCATAAACCCGGGTTTCGAAAAGGAGCGATCACAAATTCACTATTATCAACTTTTAGGACTCTCCGATGCGGAGTCGGTTAAGTATTTGTCCAGCTTCGCTTTAAGCATTCTGGCATAGAATCTTCTATATTCACGGGGTAAATTTTCCAACTGTTTTAGCGCTCGATCCAGACCCTGAGATGCACGGAAGTATGGCAGTAATTCTTTGTTCCCATACCTAAAAATGCGACCACTGTCAATACGCAGATTACCAACTGCAGAATGCTATACATAAAAACAAAGGTGCATATTTCTTAAAATTACTAATATATTTTAGTGTGAATTTGTCAATCGGCATTTGCCTTTAAAAATAATTTAGAAATCACGAGATTATTAAACTGTTGCCAGCATAGATAGTAAATTCTCGATAATAAGTAATAATTGTCATGTCACAAATATAAGGTAACGGTGAAATCAACGCAAATACTGCATGCCATTAAAAGCAGAAAAATTGTAAAAAGGAATTTGGGAATTGTCTTACGTGTCTTTGCTATCGTACAGTTCTTTTGGCAGATTATGCCAAAAGACGTTAACAGCGATGCTGAACTCCTCCGCGACCATGTAGTGCATCCAGAAGGCAGGAATGAACAGCATATCGCCTTCTTCCAGGGTGCATACCCACTTGGTCGCATTTCGAAACTTGGGAAATCTGTCCAAATCCACGTTCTCCGCGTCGAAGATGAGTGATTTGTCGCCCTGCATGTACAGATGATCAAAATCCTCAGGATCAAAAAGAACTGCGCGTTTTCGTCCGCGGATCTGTATGAGCACATTGTCGAGCACATCATAATGCAACCACAATCCCAAATTGGCCGAACCGCATCGCAACACACAGGAAAACACGGTTTCATGCTCCAGAAAATCCGGGAGCACAAAGTCCTGTGCTAATTTAGGAAAATCGCGACGGAAATCACTGGGCACGTTCCTGGCATCGTCCGCCAGTGCGCGGTAGTAGTAGAATTTATTTTGTGCGTCGCCTTCGCTGGATGTGAGAGCAGCGTCGATAAAAGCTCCAAACGGCATCACGCGGTAAACAAAATTTTTGTCCAGGAATCGCAGACGATTACTCGATGATTCGTGCACACTCACAGGTTTATCACGTCCAACTTGTTGCGCCAAATACGCTGCAGTCCACTTTTCCGCGCATGCGCCAATGGGAATATCACGGAGAACGGCTGGTTGCCGCTGCGCCTGGATATCGAAGAATTCAGTTTTCGTAGGAGCATCATAAACGGGAATGAGAGTAGGAACGGATGAAGTTGTAAGTAACTCTTCCTTACAGCTAAGAGTCATTCTGTTCAAAATCTCTAATAATGGAGAAGTCGGTTTCCAATAATTAAAACAGCGGGTGTGTTAAATATTAATTGATTATAAATTAGCCATTTAGCTCTAATCTAGTAATCTAGTTCGGATATAAAATTATCATTTGTCCAAAGTTTATAACCACAGAAAGAGGACATTTTTTAATCAAACTTGAAACTTGTATATCTTTGAAACATGAAAGTGAACCATTAATTTTCTGAGCTGGTCGTGAATACTAGAGTAGTACTAGTACTGTACCATGACTGTACTGCAAGTCTGCAACGGTGTCGTTTTCTGACGTCACAGCGGGCTTCCGGTGTATATCTATATCTGGTACCTGCATAACGTAGAGTAATGCTTATCCACAGTGCCTGCACTCGTGTCCGGCTTATCTAACAAAAACTGACTAGGTTTGCCGAAGTCTATCTGTAAATACATACGATCGCACACTAGTGTAACGAGTCCATATTCCCGAAAAGTCCCATGACGCATTTCGTAAAGTTGAAGCATTACATAATGGCAACTTTATCTTACACAAGAAAGTTTGTCGATTCCATGAACCAACACATAACTGCCACATAATTATACTCTAGTAAAATAAGCTGAAATCATAAATTCACCGTCCAAATCGTCAACAAATAAAAGAATATTAAACAAAGAGACGGTAACTGTGAACTGTGTAGCAGCTCACGGATAAAATATAACAACCGGTTGTTAAAATCTTCGGGAAACACCACAAGACTTATGTACAACTAAAATTGTAAAAACAGTTCCCAGTAAAACGATAGATGGATCAGCGCATCACCAGCCACGGCACATCTGGACGTACAGAATCAAATATTATATGGTAATCTTAGACGAGTAATAAAAACAAATTAAAACTATCACTACCAAATTTATAAAATTCTTTTGGCGACGCGGCTCTTTTGAACTTAGTGAGCTCCATGCGACAACCTTTTCACCTGCATTAATGGCGCTTCATATGCAAATTCAGATGGTCACTTCGAGAGAAGGCCCTATCGCACTGCTGGCATTTGAACGGTTTATCACCCGTGTGTTTACCTAAAAAAATATCAAATGATTAACTGCAACGTCTGCAAGAACCACTAAAATGCTGCTTAAACGCAATCCTTTATGGAACAATATTTTAAACTTAAATAAACTGTAAACTTCACAAAACTGCAGAGATACAATATAATTATATTCCACAATACTGTATGAGCAGATATATTATAATTATTATTGTTGCGAGCGCTGGCAGATATGAATTATGTATATAACTAAAACATTCTATAACTAAAATAGCTAGGATAAACCATATTTTCGGCATCCTATGGTTTAAAAAACTCCAGGTTTTGGAGTATCTCTTTGTGGGCGTGATAATGCTTAAAAAATTCTTATTCTGAAGGAATAAACATGTAGACCAAACACAATCGTCCACTTACGGTAATGTCGCGTGAGTTCATCCGATCTTGCAAACTTCCACGTACAAGATGGCCAGCTACAGCTGTAGGGCTTCTCGCCAGTGTGCGTTCGCATATGCGCCTTAAGGTGGGAACTCTTGGAATAGAGTTTGTTGCAGTTCGGGTGGCGACATTGATGATACCGCCTGATGTCTTCTTGTGGGATAGACCCGTCACCTTCGCTGCCGTTTCGTTCGGGCGTGGCAAAGCGGGAATCGGAATCCACACTACCGTCATGCATGAAGGGGCCATAACACAATGCAGCCAAAATTTCTTCACACATCGACGGATCGTTTTTGGCTTGTTCGCGAAGTTCTTCGCGGGTGGCGATTTCCGGCCAGTAGGTAGAACTCACATGGACTTCCTGTGTTGGAGGAAGTTCTTCTTCTGCGGGGTTGAACGATACTCGCGTTCCGCGCTCGAAATTGCCTGTAAAACGTCTGATTGTCTACGGCAAGCATTCTGATTTTAATATTTACGTATTTTCCGAAAGCCCGAGTGCAAACACATAACTGCAAATACTGGACGGAATATGGAAATAAGGAAATAGAACCAGCGTTGTAAATCAGTATCTGCTTATCGCCATTTCTGACATTTAGTTTCTGCCACCAATTCCCGTTATAAAATTTTAGTTCTGGATATGCAATTCGCAACTGAAGCAATTTCTTAATGAAGGAAACTATCTCGATTAAAACAATTAATTTTGACGAGAAAAATAATTTTCTTTGCAAAAAAAAACTTACTTCCCATATGTTACAGTCATGGGAACACAAAAAATTTTATAAATTATTCGAACATAAACTTAAGAAACAAAACTCCGAAACGCAAAACAGCTATAAAAACTTCCCTTACCATTCGCAGGAACTGGCGCAGCAGGCTCGGGATACTCCGGGAGAGCAGGGGGGATATTGTGAACTTTTTCACTGGGCTTGCATTCTGGGAAGGGTATATTAGCTTTTGCCGCAGCAGAAATAAGAATGCTCTTTTTTAGAAGATCTCGCAGGTCAGTTGGTGTAAGGTTCATGAGGTATTCACGTCCGGACGAGTCGATGAGCGTGATGGGCTTGCGCATTTCCTTCGTTTTCAGTGATCTGGAAAACTGGGTGGGGGCCCTGGAGGATGCTGAATGGTCAAGCCTGCTGCATAGTTCACGCAGTAGATTTTGGCTGTTAACGATTTCATCAGGTGTTTCCTCCAAAGGCACATTCTGTGCAGAATCAGAAGGAATCAAGGAATCCATAATAACTCTACGGTTGCAAAAACTTCTGCTCCCAGAATTATCCCAAACTCGTGGCGTGCAACAAAGCGCAGTGTGTACAAACAGTGTTGCACGTTGTCGTTAGATGAGAAATGGGTGGAACCAAGTTGCTTCGCATGTAAACCTTCTGTTAGTTGGTAATCTAGCGATTCTCGCCAGCGTTGATAATAAAATTAAACCTACCGTATTACATATTCCAGCTAGTTTTGCAGTTATCTCACAAAACAGAACATTCTTCTCATTATTTTATGGATTAAGTTTCAACTTACGGAGTTATTAAGCCATAATTTTTGTACGTGTAAATGATGTAATGTGAATAGGCAGGCCATGTTAAATCACGCATGTCTGGAAGATTCTGAAGCATGCTACAGTAGTGGAGGATATGGGACATGGGTACGCGGTATTAAAGCTCACCTCCGAACGTCATTGCGTAACTCATGGCTAGTAAGTACTTACTGTATCATAACATTTATTTCGAGTACCGTATCAGCCGGCAAGGGTCACAAAGATCTAATTTTTATGAAGATCGTAGAAGTATTACTACTCTTAGATTCTTTGAATATTACTTACAATGGGTACATTTAATCATGTTGTAAATAAAATTCTTATAAACAGTGCTTGTTAAGCGGTAATTAAGTGCTAATTTATTATAAATGTTGCGCTTAATTATTTTCTGCCAGTTGCATTTGCAGAAAAAATTAATACGTTTTGATACGTATATTTATATAGATATAATAAAATAATTTAATATAAATGCTTACTTAATTTTGTCTTTTGTAATCTAACCGTAAAATCTGTTTGAATCTTTTGGTGGACCTTGGTCAACCGGTAATATCGATGTACATTGTGCACCAACACCTACATATATAGATATATCTAATATCTATATAGATATACCCGAAAAGTAAAAACTAATGCAAAATTTTAAGTATTTGCTTACAACTGTTAATGCACAAATACACTTAGAGCAGTAGGTGTGTGCCACTGTGTGGTCAATTTACGTGATAAACATTTTTGCAGACAGTTCGAAAATCCCGCATTGTACTCGTACTGTCGTATTGTACATACATTTCTATTTGTCAAAATATTTTTTGTTGAGCATGTACTCTACCAAGCGGAGCATAGAATGAAGAGAGAAACACAAAAAACTAGTTTCGTCTGAATTGCGCAAAATCCCCTTGATAAATCTTTGTTTGTTACGCTTTATAGTTATGCATCATGACGTTTGCTTCGAGTGTTTTGCGAATGTGCCGCTTTAAACGATTCGGAAAGCGCTTCCGGACATGACCAACCGTAAAGATCGTTCGATTGAGCAAGTGATAATCAAATTTTAAAAATATGCAATGGCATACAGACTCTGTACAATACATCCTCCATCAGGTGATACACCTCGAATTATTGTTTTATTCCAGTTTCTCCGAGTGAAGACCAGTTCTTCAGTTAAAAATCAATTCACAAATTTTTATTATTTTGTATATTACTGTTAATGTAACTCCACAATAAATGCATAAACAAACACAATACTACTGCGTATTGCGTACATGCCTGGACATGTCATAGACTCGTATCAACTATGTCAAGATTTTTTTATCTGACGGCTGAGATTGCAGTTACTTTTGAGTTTCCAAATGCTTGTACTTTTCTTTTAAAAGTGGTAGCAGTTCTTTACGTTTGCCAGGGGAAGTGTTAAAGTACAACTGCTGATCTTCGGAATACTTTTCCACCACCGGAATCACATCCCGGAAGCGACTATCCCGCCAGTGAAAATTAAACAATTCAATGGCAGTTTGTGCGTCTGTATCTGATCGTATCACGTTAACAGGTGGACGACGGGGCAAATCTCTGCATAAAGTTGTTTTCAAAATAATGCAGCCGCGAATTGCGAACCAGCCTCCGAATTTTGGATGCATGCATACTCCCATCAACTTCTGTAATGCAATAATAAAAAAACATCACCTTTTCAACATTCGCAACTGCACACGCCTTGCTGTCAAAAATCGGGCGCGGCGCATGCGCCAGAACAATAACCGCCAAGAGCAAACTATCACTAACTTAAAAATTGCAAACAAGAAGCCCACAAAATATCGCCACCACTGTGGTCTTTTAATGATTGTTGCAGTTATTACCTTTTGATTTTTCGATGCGCTGGGATAATGTTTGGGTTGGTACAAATATGCAGCACCGGCCACATGTGCAGCAGTCTGGGCAAGAATTTTTGGCCGTCGATTTGGATGGAGTTCAAAATCATGAATGATGTCCATATCCAAATGATCAAGTCCCTGCAAAAATTTATTTCAATCCTTTTCCTTAAAAACAAAATCAAATTGTCACACAAAACTGAGTGCCTGAGGCTACACTGTAATTATTTCCATTTAGCTCATTTTAGAGTAAGCCCAGACACAGCAAAAAAAACCAATGCCGAACATAATTATTTGGATTCCCGCAAGCCAATAGCGCAAATACAATGGCATAACATGATAATACATCATATGACAATTACTACAAAATGGGTCATAATCGTTCACCTTCCGAAGTCGGCTAAAGCACTTCATAACACACAGATCAATGGGATCCCGTAGATCTTCCAGATCGTTGTTTAAGATGAAGGGAATGAATGTGCGCTCGAACATGGAAGGCGTGCTGATAACCAGAACCGCAACCGTATCTTTGTCATACTGCAAACAAAACGGGTGCTCCACAACATTATTATACCATCCTAAAATAAGAAGTCAAAATAAAATCTTTGCAACTGGTACAGTCGTCGACGAATACGAGAATCAAAATAATTATTAATCATGTCAATGTAGTTAAGATAAAAATAACAAAAATTAATTTGTCCTAGAGACCTAGACTCATATCCATACCTACTAGGTACGGATAGATTTCAAATCCTTGCGGCGCTAAAATACGACTGATCTGGATGAGAATGCTGCGGGTTCCTGAACTGATAACGGACGGAGATTCTGGTTCGGATATGGGAGATGCTGATAACGGGAGGATCGACTGCCCGGCTGGTCTAATCGAAGGTGCCAAGACCAGCTGATCGTGCGTCAGTGTCATGTAGCCCCGTTGATTTCAACTTCAACATTTCGGCGCCGCACAAATGAAACATTCTGTCTCTGGTTTCCCCCGATTCCAGTAAATACAGTTTTGAATCTCTTACCATGCATCCATAAAGAGATCCTTGATCTTTGATAGACTTCGTGGATATGGTACTATGTAGATAGTAAACCGTAACACGCTGATGAAAAATTAGAAAGTCGTAAAACAATAAACGCCGTTTAAATACTAAGGACTAAGTTACATACGTACTCGTAACTCGCTAATTACGTATATAAGTCGTACTTAAAAGAGTAGTAAAGGCCAAGCCTTGCCCATATACGCTTGTTGTCTGACCAAAAATCAAAACATTAAACAAAACGGAAAAAAAGGAAAAATCAAGCAAACTGCTGGTAAGAATTTATGGTGTTGTCTGTTTGTACTGTACTTTTTACTATTTTTTAAAATTTCCGAAGGAAGTGGAACGGGTTTAAATTCCGGAATTGATACATCTTGGCATTGGACTTCCCCAGAAATCAGGAGCTGTCTGTTTCATGATGCTGGTTCTGTTGAGTGTGGGCACTGGGTACAAGAGAGGACATCAGTCGCTGTGTGGCTTCTTGCATTTTAAATAAGCTTTGTTCGAATGCAGTTCCTGAAGAGTCGCAGGCCTGGATTTCAATAGCTAAGTCTGCAAGTTCCAGCGCTGCTATGGTATGCTTCGATTGCTCGTTTTATGCACTCTGCGGCATACATTTATTTGGTTTTGTAACTTGTGTTTGTTTTAGGCAGGAGCTGTGGCACTTCAGCCATGCTCCGACCTGTCCGATGTGTCGCAGTTGGCTCAACCGTCGCTGTTTCTGAAACCCATAGCACGGGTATGCATTGCCGTACAGCTTCCCAAAACCTTGGCCGCAACGTCAGCAACCTCAGCGGTGGGCAAAAGCATCTCGAATTGGGAAGTTATGGAGAAAATAAAAACTCTTGCCAAGCCTATGGTTTTCAGTATGATGAAAGTGACAACGAGTAACCTTGAGGTTTGTGTTTTGCACAGTTTCTGAGAGTGGTCACTGTGACACGCTGGTATTTTGTAACCATTTTAAAGGTAACTATTTTAATGTTTGGGCAAACGCGAGTACTCAGTTAAGCAAACAATTGAGCGTTTAGTTAATCGCAGTTAAGCCTTTACTTTTGCAGTTCTGAATACAGTTAATATGCATTTTCGTGCCTCTTCAGTTTGCGCTTGCAGTTTTGTTTTGCATATCGTTAAGTTTCTGGCAGGTTATTCGATATGAAGGCGAACTGGACAACAAAGAACTGGTTCTGAAAGTGATGCACCAGTTGGAGGATCAGACCATAAAACTGAGCGGATTTTCGGAGACATTACGAATTCATTGCTCAGAAGCTAAGTTAAATTTTCCTCAGCGGCATGACTGGACTGCATTTTTCGTGATGCACAGAATCTCAACGAACTGAAGCCGGGACAGCGGCCCGATACTGTTGTCCTGCGCAATGTGCCCTGCAAATGGTTCAGCAAACCGAAACCCGATAATCCTTCCGTGCCTAAGGCGCCCCTGCACAGACGCTGCCGCGGAGGTGACCGATCCAGCTGAGAACAGCTTTGTTCCGGTGGATAAAAAGGGTGGACGTTAACAATAAGCCATCCATGGACCGACTGAAGAAGTATTCGGACTATTTGTAAGATTCGCGCCGCCGATGTGCCACTGCTGGATCCATCGCGCAATCAATCTCTCCTGCCAGTAATACGCTCAAAGGTTTCGGACATGAGTTCGTTTTGATGCCTTTATCCAGTATGCTGAATACAATGCTTTTGTTAAATGCCTCACTGCGTTATACGGGATGAAGCTGTTATGGAAAGAGCAGGAGAAGGCATTTACTGCCAATATCAAGGTTATTTGACGCTTGTGTTGTTTTGATGGGCCACCGCCGCATAACTTGATACAGCGAGCAGTGCAGTTGGATCCTTTTGATCTCATTGCGCGTGGATTATCAGCAGGAGAAAGATAAGTTTTAGTTGAAGAAGGTGGCAGGAAATTACTGTATTTTGTCATGTGCATTTATTTTTCTGCTGTTACTGCAATTTCGTGGATGTAAAATGTAGACAATGGTTTTTCAATTTGTAGGCGTTACGCTTTTTTGAGTTTTGAGACTTACCTTTAAAATTAATTTAGTTTATCTGGAATTTTTCAGAGCTAGTAGTCTTGGTTTTGATACCAATAATGCGCAGCTATGT